GATCAAATCAGCAGAATTCAGTCTAATCTTGAACCATTTCAAGAGGAAGAAACTTTATGCAGAGCTAGATGAAAGAAGCATTGACAAATGTTATCTCTAGCAGTGACTACTTATGTGTTGAAAGTGACGAGAACACTTAAAATGTCTGATAAGTTTGATGATTTGGTCCTCTAACAACAACTACTTATGTATCATGAAAACATTTAAACTTCTGATAGCTTTGATGATTTGGTAAACAATTGAAGAAGTAAAGAGATAAATGAAGATGCAAAGAGTGTCTTTAACAACTTTCCGGAAGATAACATCTATACAATTATTGCTAGATAGATATAAAAAGATGTAGTTAGCAAAAAATCTTAATATATAGTACTTTCCTGAATTTGTAAGTAAGCCGATCCATCTATCTGAAATATCTATTTACCTTGATACGGATCATCTGCGATACCATTATTTATGTCAATGTGTAGCTATCTTAATATCTTAATATAGAATATTTGCCTTACTTTATTTGCTAGTCTAGCTATTTATCCACAATACATGTTTACCTTATTACAAAGTACTTTAAGTATCTCTCCACAAGCTATACCATTTATGACCTTATGTCAACATGTACATATCCATTTGTCATACCATAAATGTTAACGTATAGCTTGAATAAATGTCAAATCTGCTTATAATGACTTTATCCAACTGTTATAGCAGTGTGTCATGTTGTTACTTTTCAAATGGATAGTTTGAGATAATGCAGTTGTGAGAAAGCAATCTTATTAGCCAATACTACAATAAAAGCTATAAGTATATATCTTTATTGACAAGATAAGTCACTATTGATTATCAAGACTATAAAATACTCTTATATTAAAACGCAATGAAATGTGTTGCTTTAATAGAACACATTTTAGATTGGTTAATGGAATCAATATTTGTGAGATTATCAAATATACTAATTATTATCACTTATTGAAAACAATGGGTTAGCGGTTGAAAATGTATCCCAAAGTTACAAATATATACTGTCCTAGCTAGCTCCAACACCCTAGTTAAACATGACATACAAACATGCATTAAAAGAGAAGTTAAAAGATCCATAGTACAGAATACTGCTTAGTTGATTAACGATGGGTAATCACATATCAGGGCTTACTTATTCAGCAACACTTAATGATGGTAGAATTTTTTTTGTAGGTTTAGTTTAGGAGCTTACATATGAAATGTTTTTACAATCTCTATTTGTGAGGCTTTGAGAATGATAGCAAGAAAAGGCAGGAAAAGTTTTACATTTCTTGTTATGGAATAATTTGGTGAAGTTATCAAGGTCTCATAAGATATCAAATTATCAACTAATCAACTGATATATATGTTTGGAGGTCTGGAATTACTCCTAAAGAAACTGATATATATCAACTAATTCACGTTTTCTGGTACTGAAGTTACTCCTAAAAAACTAATCAACTTATATCAACTAATGCACGTTTCTTGGTAGTGAAGTTACTCCTACAAAAACAACTTAAGGGGCACAAAATATGAAGGATTAAAGATGCAAATTCCCTTGCTTAAACTGATGAAAGTAGATACTTTGAAAAAAAATTAAAATGACCCAAACAATTAAAGTAAAGAATACATCTTTTGTGGGCATTTTTTCAAACACGTATCCAGTGCCACCTATCAAACGAAGCTGTAGATGGCAGACTTGCAGTATTCAATCAACAATAAAATATCATAGCAAAATGAAATACATGGAAATCAAAGATGTTGCACCAGGAAGGAGAGAATGACAGTCTACGGAAGTGGAGTCTTTGGGAAGAACGATGAAAAAACAGATTGATGAAGTCTAGAAAGAACAACGATGAAACGTTGGATAAGGTGGTCTGTCGTTCGTCCTTCTAGCTTGGAGAAGCTGGGTTGTTGTATGTGCTTTTTGTGACAATAAGAATGACGATGAAGATGACATTTGGCTAAAGCGAAGGATATATGCGATCCGATTTTGTAACTGAGGTAACAGCAGCACATGGAACGGATGGGAGTCACGGAAGTTAAACGGAAAACTAAAATCCTTTAAAAGAGTACAAATGATATAACAAGGTGTACCACCTCACAAAGACATATGATTACACCAACATTTTTTTTATCCCTAAAATACCCTAATCTTCATTGACAATTATAAGATTCTAAGATATTAAGAGTAATTACACATAAGTCCTTATAATTACCCTATTAGTAAGAACACTTTTAATAAAAAAAATCATCAACCGTAAAACTCGTCTATCATCATCGAAACTTGATCAAATTATAAAGAGATAAGGGTCAGATAGGGTCTCGAACTTGAAAAAAAATGTCAAATAAGGCCATATTTAGGATGCTCTGTCCGGCCGACGCCATTTGGGGTGGTTCCGTGTAGAATTTTTTGATGAAATTTTTTGAGAATCTTATTCATTAAGTCTAGTTTACTCATATCAAATTTGAACTAAAACTTTAATCTGGAAGACATTCAAATGAATTCTTGAAGATAACTGTACCGTTAAAAGCGCAGTTATCTTCATGAATTCATTTGAATGCCTTCCCGATTGAATTGTTAGTTCAAATTTGATATGAGTAAACTAGACTTAATGAATAAGATTCTCAAAAAATTTCATCAAAAAATTCCACCGGGAACCACCCCAAATGGCGTCGGCCGGACAGAGCATCCTAAATATGGCCTTATTTGACATTTTTTTTCAAGTTCGAGGCCCTATCTGACCCTTATCCCAATTATAAACTTTTAGTTTGTGGTATCTAGTTTGAGATTTGTGATCGTTTGATATAAGTTTCAGATCGTGAAATTGAAATTTGTAAGTTGTTTAGTTTTTTCGTAAAACAACAATTTTCGTAGAACCTTTTACTAAGGTAAGGGCTTGTTTACTAACAGAGATATTTTTCAGCTTTTCAGAAAACTGGAAAAAGGAAAACAGAAAAAGTGTTACCCAAAAAAATTGTTGGAAATCTGGAGAAAGGAAAATAGAAAATTGTGTTTACCAAATCGTTTTTCAAAACAAAAAAATGAGATATGTCTTTGTTTTCCTTAAGGAAAATAGAAAAAGTGACTTTTACTAGATTTCTAAACTTGGAAAACGTGGTCCCTGTTCGGTCCGGTCCACGACCCGATGGCCCGTGTCCCGTTTGGTCCATGACCCGACTGTCCCTATCCGGTCTGGTCGATGACTCGATGGTCTTTGTCCGGTCCGATCCACAACCAGGCGGTATTTGTTCGGTTTGACCGACGGTCGGTCTGATCCAGTCTAGTCAACGACTCAGCAATTCTCGTTCGGTATGGTCAATGACCCAATGGCCCCCATCATATTCGGTCAACCATCGGCAGTTCCCGTCTTGTCCGATCAACGACCCGATGGTCCCCAATTTGTGTGGCAAATAACTTGATGGTCTGTGTTCGGTCTGATCGACAACCGGACCAGTCCCGTAAATGAATGGGCGGTCCCAGTCTTGGCCGGTCAGTGACCTGGCGGTTGAGTCTCGATTTTTAGAAATCATTTTTTTAAAGTGAAAAGTTTTAAATGAGCCGTTGAGATGTCAACCAATAGGGAAATGAGAAAAGAATTCATCAAACTAACTGTCGAAATCGACCGGGATCGGCCGGTTTCGGTCCCGACTTTCCTAGAGGTGGGATAGGTGGATAGAAAAAATAGTACTCCCTCCGTCCCACTTTAAGGTTCCCACACGATTTACGATGTTTGACTGACCATAAAGTTAACTTATCCCTGTCATCAATAGAATTATTTTTAGTAAATAAAATTTACATATTCAGAAACTACATTAAACTCGCTACAAAACCTGCAAAAAATAATTTAAATTTCATAAACTTTCGATATAAAAAGTAAAAGATTAAGAACAATGCACGTTGACCGAAGAATAATGTACGGGATCCTTTAAATGGGATCGAGGGAGTAGGAAGCTGTTCCGTTCGTCTTAATCTTATTACTTATTCCTTAATCTTATTTTATTCAGATCAGATCAGATCAGAAAGATTCAGATCAGATCAGATCAGATCAGAGAGATTCAGATCAGATCAGATCAGATCAGAAACATTCAGATCAGATCAGAAAGATTCAGATCAGATCAGCAACATTCAGATCAGATCAGAAAGATTCAGACCAGATCAGAAACATTCAGATCAGATCAGATCAGATCAAAAAATTCAAACACGATTTATCACTTTTATTAATATATTAATTATGATTATTATATTATAATTATTGTTAATAATATTAATATATTAATATAATAATATTATTATTATTATATAATATAATATAATATAATATAATATAATATAATATAATATAATATAATATAATATAATATAATATAATATAATATAATATAATATAATATAATATAATATAATATAATATAATATAATATAATATAATATAATATAATATAATATAATATAATATAATATAATATAATATAATATAATTGTATCTGTACTTATAATTAGTGTAATTAGTATAATTATTATAATTTTAAATTTAATTTTAATTATTATTTTTTTATAATTATGATTATAATTGTAATTTTATTTAAGTTATATTTTTAATTACAATTATAAATCTAATAATTATAATTATAATTACAATTATAGAAATATTCAAATCAGATCAGAAAGATTCAGATCAGAAGAATTCAGATCAGATCAGAAACTTTCAGATCAGATCAGAAACATTCAGATCAGATCAGATCAGATCAGCAACATTCAGATCAGTTCAGCAACATTCAGATCAGATCAGAAAGATTCAGATCAGATCAGAAAGATTCAGATCAGATCAGAAAGATTCAGATCAGATCAGATCAGATCAGAAAGATTCAGATCAGATCAGATCAGAAAGATTCAGATCAGATCAGATCAGAAAGATTCAGATCAGATCAGATCAGATCAGAAAAATTCAGATCAGATCAGATCAGAACTTAAAAAATTCAGATAAGAAACATTCAGATCAGGTGAACGGAACAGCTTCTAGAAAGGAGTACTTAAATCAGAGAGGAGTACTATTAAATACGAGTGGAAAAAATAGAAGTACAACGGAATGCATCGTCGGTGTTTTACCCCACGTGGATAGGTGGAAGGCAGGCAGGCGCAAAACGTGATTCGATCTTTTTTAGCAGCCGGAGCATCATATTCGTTTTCTTTGTTAGGGAATAACATCGATCCATCTTTTATTCCTATTCCTATTCCTGCCTATCAATTTCTTTCCATTTGAATTATTAAAATGAAAGGAATCAATTCGGTTTGCTCTTCCCAAGCGGCCACTGCAATCTGCTTGTCAATGGAAGGGATAACGGGGTACGGCCCCAGCATTCAACTCGGCGGCGGCGGCCGAGCTATCGACCGCTTCAACCCCATCATCACAGACTCCAGGCGACGAACAGAGGCGGACATCCACACGTCCAGCAGGAAGGGTGAGAAGAGAGGAAAGAAGGAGGAGGAGAAGAAGCATTGCAGCAAGCCGGCCGGCGGCGGAAGTGGTGGGTGGAGTTGCGCGCAGCCGGGTGACTTTGTGACGCCTTCTTCTTCTTCTTCTTCTTCTCGGTACCTTTTGAATGACGACGAAAAATATAACAGCAACTCTGCCTCTTCCTCTTCATCTTTTCACCCTCCTGCCTCCGCTTCCACCAATAAGGTACCCATTCATTCTCCTTAAATCAAATATCAATACACTTAGCTTCTTACCCCTATTTCACACATGTGATGAATAAAAACAAATCTCCACCAAATAATTCAACCCGGCCAATACATAAATTCGAATGCAAAAAAGTGAACCATATCTACCTCTTTCGTATCGCTTTCATCTTTCAAAACCACACCTATAAAACAAATTACCTTATCCAAAATATGTTGGTTTTTATGCTTAAGTAAATTCCTTAAATGGTTAATAAATATAGACTCATGTTTTCGAGTTTTTTCCTGAAGTAATACTAATTAAATAAATAATTCCCAAAATACTGTTGAGGTGCTTCCGAGTTGTTTTTGGTTGATGACATTTGGTGATCATGTTCTTTCTAAAGTGTAGGTTGGGTTCACCGAATTTCAGATTAAATTTAAATCAAGAAGTTAGTTAAATTATTTATTGAAAAAACATGCATTTTTAGGCTTAAAAAATTGTGCAAATTTTCAAAAAATTTGTTTATCTAACTTCCCAATTGAAAGGAACCAACTTCAGATTCGAGTTATCACCGCCATCATTATGCCCTTAACAAACAATTCTTTCTCTTCCACTTGCTAAATAAATATGAACTCTATTTGGTCAATTTATGGTCATTGGAAACAGTTTCAACACTCGTATCAACTATTGTTCTAAGTTCCAATTGCAGAATCACAGTTTTGCGCAATTCACTTGAGCTCATGTTTGGAAGGCAACAATAAATTCATGTTTTGTAATCTAGAGAAGCATGTGTAATCCTACAACATACAAACTATTGATAGAAATGCTCAAAGTAATGTAAAATGGGAAATGCATATCATATATAACACATGCACCTAAAACATGATGACTTATGGGCAAATTATCAACAAATATGAAACAATAAGAAATTATAAAATATTGCTTCCGGGAAATAACATACCAAACGATTTAGTTGCATAATTCATTACCCCCACAACCTTAACCCTTACCTCTTCCTTACCCCTACTCTAACCACGACCTTACCCTCTGCCCCTATTCCCCTCGTAACCCCTATATGTTACGGGTGGGGTCGGGATTGAGGTAGGGGCATGTAGTATGGGGTAAAGGGGTAGGGTAAGGGGGGTTGGTTAGGGGTGGTAAGGGCTAGGGGGTTAAGGTAGGTGGGGGGATGGGGTCGAGGTAGGGGCAGGTGGATGGTAGGGGTAAAAGGGTGGGGTTGGAGTAGGGAAGAGGTACGAGGTGGGATCGAGATGGGGTAAGTAGGGTAGGATGGGTAGGGGTCGGGTGGGATCGAGTTAGAGGAAGGTAGTAGGGGGTAAAGGGGTAGGGGGTAGGTAAGGGACTGGGACGGAATGGGTTGGAGGTAGGTTGGGGGATGGGGTCAGGGTGGAGTAGTATGGACCCGGGCCGGGCCGGTTTCGGTTCAGGCCTGGGCGCGGCCGAGCTTTTTTTTTGGGGAAGGGAGAACCGGCCCGGGTAGGTAGCGGTTCCGGGCCGGTTCCTGCATTCATTTATTGTTAGAAAATCATTATACTCATCAACAAAATCAACTCGGAAGCACTTCAAATTTCATAAAAATGTCCTATTCCTGTCACGACGTCCTGACCGGAACCCCCGTGCAGACAACACCATCAGAGGGTCTTCCCAGTGGAATTTTTTGACGAAATGTTTTTGAACATGTTCCTCATCATGTCTAGTCTATTCATACAAAATTTCAACTCAAAATTCAATTGGGAAGATAGTTAAAAAAATTCTTGAAACATACTGCTTTTTATATATGTAGAAAATGTGCTGTAAGAGAAGAGCCGCCACGTGAAGTGGCGGCTTTTGTACTGTAAGAGAAGAGCCGCCACTTTAAGTGGCGGCTTTTCTTAACCATAGTTAACCCAACAGTATTTTGGGAATTATTTTTAACCCAACAGTATTTTGGGAATTACTTATTTAATTAGCATTATTTCTGGAAAAAACTCCATGTTTTCTTTATAAACTAGTAACCGTGCGATGCACGGTGTAGGGATGCACGATTTAAGATATTTTCTTCGATAGTTATTAACTATTTTTATATAAAGCGTTATGAAGTCAGAAAATTGTAAAATATGGAGTAAAATGAGACAACTCTCTCTGTAAAATAAATCATGTGTGGAAATGAAAATTCAAATTAATTTTTTGAAATGCCTTGTACCACTCAACAACATTAATCATGATATCACCAACCCTCTCTAGATAACCAAAAATTAAAACAGCGTATCACTTTTTTAATCACAAAGTCACAATTAAAAAATTGAGTTTGGAAGTTACTTTTTCAATAAAAACTACTTTATTTATAGCCCCTTCTCTGTATTATCCTTATCTACAAAATAACAATTACATCGTCTTAGTTTGCTTAACTAAACGTTTTTAAATTTCTTAATTATACTTCTATACACTAGATACTATAGAGTTGTGCCTCAAGAGAATAAAACCTTTAAGTACTGCGTCTTAATTCTTGAAGATAACTGCGCATTTTTGCGTTCTCGAATTAATTTTAATGCGCTCCCGATTAAATATTTAGCTAAAATTTGGTATGAGTAAACTAGACTTGATGAATAAGACGCTCTAAAAATTTTATCAAAAAATTCCATCGGGAACTGCCCCAAATCGCGATGATCGGACAGAGTCTCCTATAGAAGGACTTAATTGACTTTTTTTATGAAAGTTCGAAAACCTATTTGACAGTTTTCCCTTTTATAAATAAACTAATGATAATCCTATTTATAAATTTTATTATTTTCGGTAGACTTTTTTATCATCCGGCACCCCTCCCCCTTCATCCATTTCTAAAATGATTCCTCTCCACCTTTCACCCCTCCTCTACCCCTCTATTGACCCCCCCCCCCCCTCTTTTTTGTCTTTCACCTAGAGCATACCCCCCCATACTCATATACTCTTCTTCCCTACCATCAAGAAGTTGTACCTCACCCTAATGTTCTCCTTGTACGTTTATGATCCAGATCTCTATCTTTTGTTTCATTTAACAATTTTGAATTGGATTCAAATCCCCAACACATTTCCGTCGACTTTATTGTCGTCTGCATTCAGATAGAAGAATTGAGTTTTTCTTGACGAAGTACTCCATCCGTCCCGCTAAGATTGTCCCATCTTACCTTTTCAGGAACTGCCACTAAGATTGTCCCTTACCAAATTTGGTAAAGATTGTGTGACTCTAAGAAGCTGTTTTCTTCACCTGATCTGAATGTTTCTGATCTGAATTTTTTAAGTTCTGATCTGATCTGAATCTTTCTGATCTGATCTGAATGTTCCTGATCTGATCTGAATGTTCCTGATCTGATCTGAATGTTCCTGATCTGATCTGAATCCTTCTGATCTGATCTGTTTTGAATATTTCTAAAATTATAATTACAATTATAATTACTATAATTATAAATGTAATTACACATATATAATTTAAATATAATTATAATTATAATCATAATTATAATTTTTTTAATTATAATTACAAACATAATTATAATAGGTATAATTAGTATTATACGTATTACACTAGTTATAAATATAGCTATAATTATAATTATAATTATATTTATAGTTATATTTATTTCTATAAATTTAATTGTAATTACTACGTATAATATGATAATAACGAAAACAAAACTAATAACAATAACAACAACAACCATATTAGTAGTAAGAATAATAATAATCATGATAATAATAAATATCATAATAATAATAATAATAATAATCATAGTAATCATAGTAATAATATTAATATTAATAATAATAATAATAATATAAATAATAATAATAATATTAAGTATAATAATTACAATAACAACAACAAGAATAATAATAATTATAATTATTATAACTATTATACTTATTATAATTATTATAAATATTATAATAATTATTATTATAATTAAAAGGATAAATCATGTCTGAACTTTTCTGATCTGATCTGAATGTTCCTGATCTGATCTGAATGTTCCTGATCTGATCTGAATGTTTCTGATCTGATCTGAATGATTCTGATCTAATCTGAATCTTTCTGATCTGATCTGATCTGAATTTTTCTGATCTGATCTGATCTGAATAAAATAAGAATAAGCAATAAGTAATAAGATTAAGACGAACAGAACAGCTTCTAAATCATTCTTACTTTATTCTTACTTTATCAATTTAATATCAACCACACAAACTCACTTTTCTTAATAATCGTGCTACTTTCTCTAGTCCCAATCTTAGTGGGACGGGAGGTAATATAAATTAAGAGATAGATCTACAAAATTGGCAGAGTTAAGTTTATTTATTTTAATACTTTTCTTGTGAAATATAAAAAATTAAGTGTAACGGTCAACGTTCCACACTTGTTGAGGCACAACTTTGACCATTGATATATATAATTCTTTACTAGGATTTTTTTTTTAAGAAATTAGATTTTGAAAATTTACAACGAGACACATTTAACAATATTTTTTTCAAGAAAATATATTAATACAGTATTGAATTAAACGTAGTCAAAGTAGAACATGTGAATAATGTAAAATTCAACATTTTGTACTTATTTAAGAACAGATGTAGTAATAGATACCCGTAGTACAATTTATAAATGTTATTTTTACTTGGATTCATTATTACACAAGATCGAACGTTGACAATTATAAAATATTCGTACATCAACATCTACACGACCTGAACCGGAACCACAAAATCAGTTCAGTTTCTGGTTCCATTTTTTAGATATTAAATTTTATTATTATTAAATAAATAAGTAAAAGAGTTCCCAAAATAATATTACAAGAACAAATATCTCTCAGCTCATTGTTAAAAGAGAATATTACCCGAAATAGGAGTTAAAAAGTTTGAAAATTCCAAAATAAGACTGCCATGTTTTTATTCCCAAAATAGGACTAATTACTGTCATGTATTGACGGTACCGGACTTCAATCATGGCAGTATTTTCCAAACTTGGCAGAAATTACTTCTATTTTGGGAATAAGAACATGACAGCCATATTTTGGAATTTTCAAACTTTTTTACTCCTATTTCGGGAACTTTCCCTTGTTAAAACCTATTATAAAAATAAGATACTCCGTCCGTCCCCCTATAATTGTCCAATTTTTCCAATTTTGGATGCCCATATTATTATTTCATACTATATTTGGTAACATTTGTATGACTCCAATTTATTCTTACTTTATTCTCACTTTATCAACTCATTATCAACCACATAATTATACTTTTCGTAAAAATCACACCACTCCCTTCCGTCCTAATATTAGGGGGCGGAGGGAGTAGTTAATAGCTAAGTAGTACGTAGTAATAAATTAGATTATAAAACCCTACATTCTATTATTCTAAAATAATTTAGTTATTAATAAATTATGGTTACTTATTACTAATAATTTTAATAAAAAATACTCCGTATCTCAACTAGTACTCCTGATAGTAATAACTAAGGATTAGTAACTAGTAACTCTTATAATTGTTACTTCTATTATTAGTACAACTAATACTATTATTAAATAATTAATTAAAAAAGATGTTCCAAATTGAAACCGTCCAATACTAATTTATAAGGAAATCGAAGCAGACTAGTAAATCTACGGTTACGAACCATAAGTACTATACAGTTCCACTTATGTGGGTTTTGTTTGAAAGAGCAAAAAACCGAAGAAACTTGCAACGAAAAAGCAACGGCTTATAAAGGCGACATAGAACAATTTAGTAGAAAAAGGATAAAGAAAGATCAAAAGAAGGCAAGTTCTAAGATGAAAAGGAATAAAAACAGCTAACACCCCTTGTGGACGAATTGGCGATTGAGATTTATTACTTTTACCCTGTTCGGGCCCATATCAATTTTTTTTTATTCCAACGGGTTGACCGGGGTGTTTTAGGGGGTGGAGGGTTGGGGTTTGATTGGGGGGTGGGGGGTGGGGGGTCAAGGGTAGTTAGGAAAGCCCAAAAAAATATTACCGTTGAACCTGGGCCGGTCCCGGGCCTAGGCCCGACCCGGGCTCGACCCAGCCCGAATCCACCCCTAGTAGCTAACATTTTTTTATCCTCCATATATAAGTAATTAATGACAGGAAGTTATCTTAAATAGGAATAAATAACTTTTGAAATTCCAAAATAGGGCTATTATGTTTTTCACGGAATAGAAGTCGCTATTGACATGTATTTTAAAACTTTTGGTGAGCTGCATATTTTAAGGTCGGCTGTGTTGTACTCCCTTTGTCCCATAAAATAGTTCCCATTTTGATTTGGATTGGAATAAAGTGAGAATAAAGTGGAAATATATGATTGTGACTGAGTAAGAAAAATGTAAATAAATGGTAGCGACACAAAACTTTCCAAAAATGAAAATGGAAACTAATTTTTGGAGCAGCCCAAAAAAGAAAGTGAGAACTATTTTATGGGACAGTGGAAGTAATTTTGATCCTCCATATTATATTTTTCGTATAGTACTATAATTTATAATTGTTACAATATCTGTTCTACACAAAGCTATAAAACAATAAAGAAAAAGTTCCCGAAATAGGAATAAAACAGTTTGAAAATTTTAAAATAGAACTGTCATGTTTTTTATTCCCAAAATAGGAGTTATTACTGACATGTTTGGAAAATATTGCCATGTTTGAAGTATGGTACTGCCAAAACATGACAGTAATTAGTCCTATTTTGGGAATAAACACATGACAATATAGGACTACTCCTCTATCAAGGTTAACCTTTTAGGATGAAACCACCGGTTTTAACAATAATGATAAATACAATCACCTCCTGCATGCTTAGGTCTTTACTACACAACACTAATAAATAGATTTAAACCGCATAAACACTTGTATATACTACGCATGAGTAGAAATATCAAATAATCGTACATTGTTAATAGTAAAATGATGCATAAGCTATTAATATAAATTTGTGTTTTTTCCGGTTCCGTTTCAATAAGATTGTCATATATTACTTTGTAAAATTTGTATGGTTCTAAATCATTTGGACTTTACTCTTATTTTATGAATTCAATATCAGCTATGTAAACCTACTTTTCTTAATAATCGTGTCATCTTCTCATGTGTTAATGGGACAAAGGTAGTAAATAATTTTGGATGGTAAATACAAAGTGGTAGTGACGAATTGGAGAGGTGGAACTGGTTGAAATGATAAAGTTGAGAAGAGGTGAGTTGTATTGTGGTCCTCAAGGCAACAAATGTGACATTGAATAAATTGGTTGCAGGTGGTTGTGGTTCTTAGAGTTTCCCTTCATTGCAGAGGGTGTGAGAAGAAAATGAGAAAACACATCTCCAAAATGCAAGGTATGCAGTCCCCACCCGTAACGGATCTGTTTTTCTATTTGCATTCGACTCCACTATTTACATTTATTTCTATATAGGCCAGGTGAGAGGTATGTATGGACTTACTGTATATTAGTGCAGTCGTGATAATAATCCAAGGCAGGTCAGGACTGGAACATTGTTTTTATTATCGGGGCTCACATTGTGGGCCTTGAGTTTCAGGCACTGCCTGCAAGCAAGTAATTTCGCCAAGACCCCCTCTAGGTACTCCTATGTTTTTACTTGGACTCTAATTTGCTGGTCTGGTCTGGTAAGGTCTGTTTTTTTTGTATTTTTATAACTATGCAAGTTTGGTCTGATCTGGTCTCAGCTGGTTTGGTCTGGACTGGTCTGGTTTGGGACAAATTATAGTCCAAGTAAAAACATCCTAGATATAGGTAACAATTTGCTCAAACCCAATGATTTTGTTTGATTTGGTTTAAAATTGAAAGACTGTAAATCGAATTGAACAACGAACAACTTGTAATTTATATATATATACTTTGTATTTTTTTCACTCTCATCTTTAGGATATAAATAAATAATTTAGACATGAAAAATACAAATTTAGCATATATCATTTTAACTTTTACACATTTCATACTTTTGTATTATGAAAAAGGTAGTTAATTTGACATATTTGTATTTGTTATATTTTGTACTCTACCTGTATGAAAAGATATTTGGCAACATTAGCAAATTTAGCGTATACGGAGTATCATTTTGTACAATAGCAAATTGCATTTATATTTTTCTACATGATTCATTTGAATAAAATTATGAATATTACAACATTTGTACCACTAACGCATTTAGTTTTGTTTGAACATTTTATGTGATATTATAAATGCTAATTAGCTATAAATTTATTTTTTGTGAGAAATGAATCTTTTTTCTAGTGATCGAAAAGATGTTAGAAGTTTTAATTTATATTATTTTATTTTTTTCTATCTTTTATTTACTTTTACATTTTATTTAAATAATAAATAAAAGAAGAAGAGATGGACTACTACTTTCATTTTCTAATTCTAAAATATAGAACTTGATCAAATAAAATAATAAACATAAGAAACCGAAACAAATCAAACTAAATTGAACCTAATAATTTTCACTTGGGTAAACCGAATTTAAACCGAACCGAAATCGAACCGAAACCAAACCAAAACACAAATGGTTTTAGTTTGATACAAATTCTCCCAAATCGAATAAGCCGAAACCAAACCGAAACCGTAGAAAACCGAACTGTAAACCGAATTGCCTACCCCTACTACCTCCATCTCATTATATGTATTCTATTTTAGTTCGGCACAACTATTAATAAAGTGATCAAAGAATTAAAAGTTATGGTTGAGATTTGAGTATGACAAAGTAAAATGATGTAGACAACATATTTGTTTCCAAAAAATGAAATGTTACACTTATTTTGACTCAACTCATAAAGGAAAGTAAGACATATAAAATGGGACGGATGGGGTATTAGTTTCACCCAGCAACCCTTTCATGGTACACACACTCGTGTCTAGTCCCATGAAACTTGACCAAATTTGAGGTACTTGTAAAATTATAAAGTAAAAATGATGTGATTGAGATTTGTGTGAAAAAAGATAATTAACTTTGGCCATATTTTAGAGCAACTAAAAAATAAAGTTGACTAAGTTTTATGGGAAGAATGGAGTATTAATTATTTAATTCATTATATATCATAAAGTAATAGTAAATTAATTATATTGAAACATGACAATATATATTTACCATTTTTATTTGTAATTTCAAACAAGCTGATTGATATGAAAAATTAATCATTTAATTTGGTTTTGGTAATTTTTAGAGCTTCTTGGTAACAGTAAAATTGACTTAGTCAGGCGAATCTATTGCAATTGATGAAATTCTTGATGAATCGTCTGAATAGTCTGAATTACGAAAATATTACGAAAGTAAATTTTGTATACTTAACTTATACCTAAAGTTTATTATACAAAAGGAAAAAGTTATGTGAACAACAACATCCAAGCCTTAGTCCCAAACGATATTGGGGTCGGCTAACATGAATCGATATATGATATCACCAAAAGGAAAAGAACGAAAATAAAGATAAAAAAGATAAGCTATTATAAATAAAGATAATATAAAAGAGATGAATATACATATAAAAGATCAAATAAAAAGGATAAAGTAATATTTATATATAAGGATAAAAATATAAAAGAAAAAAAAGAGAGGAGAAAAGATGATACAAGATCACTCTTCCACACGAATACTCGCCCTCCATTTTGCTCTCTCCAAAGCCATACTCTCATCCAATCCAAGAAGAAGCATATCACTTCTGACTCCCCTAACCCACGTCTGTTTGGGCCTTCCTCTCCCTCTCTTCCCTACCTCTTCTCGGCTTCTCCACACATCTCAACTCGTCTGACAGGCGCATCACTCGGTCTTCTATGCACATGACCAAACCACCGTAGGTGTGACTCCCGCATCTTATCTTCAATACGTGCTACTCCCACCCTTTGTCTAATTGTCTCATTCCTCACGCGGTCCTTTCTAGTATGCCCACACATCCAACGCAGCATGCGCATCTCTGCCACACTCATCTTTTGAATGTGACATTGTTTCACCGCCCAACACTCCGTGCCATACAGTAATGCAGGCCTAATTGATGTCCTATAAAATTTACCCTTCAGTCTAGTCGGCATACCTTGATCGCATAGAAATCCTGACGCACTCTTCCACTTCATCCACCCTGTTCTGATTCTATGGGATACATCTCCATCTAACTCACCGTCCTTCTGAATTATGGAGCCCAAGTAACGGAACATATCGCTGACCGGAAAAAGTTATGTGAAAAATAACTAAAATAGTTCCCTCGAATAAGACCAGATCATTTAGTCATAAAAGTAAGTTCAACCTTATTTATTTCAATTATTACACAATTGAGCGCGCAAAACCATAAATGATGTGAGCGTTAACAAACGGACTCTTGGAATGTTTTCTTTTGGACTAAAATTTGCTGGTCTGGTCTATTTAAGTCTGATCTGGCCTAGTCTATTTAAGTATGACCTGGAATGATCCTTGGGACTGAAAACAGTCCTTGACTTGTGTAATGGTATTGGATTGATATAATAGGCAGATATGAGCGGACAAATAGGGCACAGTATGGAGAAGAAGCATGACTAGGGTATGAGGCCAGAGTGAACCAAAATTTATCGTAGCCCCACCCCCTTTTGATGGGGAAAAACAGCCACAAACGGAACTAATAAAATGCGGAATTAATCTCCGTTTGGCTAAACTTTCCCCAACTTGAATGAATCTTTGAGGATGCAAACAAATAGGGTGTTCTTAATGCAATTAGAACACACACAAGTTGCTGCCACACACCAATATATTCAGCTAAAACAGTAAGCACACACCACACACAAACACCGGAATTTTAGCGTGGAAAACCCGTTAACTAGGGAAAAACCACGGGACCATTTTGGCCGCTTAAATCCACTATCATCATCAAAGGAGCAGTACAAAGTCTTCTCTAGATAATACTAGAGGCATACACATTCATCATATCCTTGGAAGTAAGCACATCAAGGTGTATGGAATCAAATAGAGCCAAGATAAGAAATATATCACCAGAAAAATAGCTACTGTCCAGAGCAACGAAACCCGACCTCCGGACCTCAAAACCCGATCTCCACCGTCCAGAATGTTGGCTCAGATGCTGTGAAGCTGCTGTCCAAAAATCACGACGATCCAACGGTTCAATCTCCGGGAAACGGAAGTTTTCTGCTGCTGCCTGCTGGAAAAACGGGATGAGCACACTCAGCTCATGTTTACCACTTATGCTCTCTTTTCTGCTGCTCTCTTTCTGTCCATCGAATGTATGTTAGTGGCTGACCCATATTTTTGATTATTAGCTCCCAAACACACAAAGTCAAAGAAGACTTTTAATGGGCTCAATACTTGGGCTTTCCTCATGGGTCAAAAACAAAGGAAAAACCCAACAAATCTCCCCCTTTTTGACTTATGAGGAAGAGTTCGCCATACCGGCGATGGAGCAACATACCTTCAACTTTTCCCTTGCTAGAACCTTCGTCAACATATCGGCACCATTATCATCGGTATGAACTTTATCAAGTTCAAACAGTTTGTCTTCAAGTGCATCTCTAATCCAATGATACCTCACATCAATATGTTTGGTTCGTTTGTGAAACATAGAATTTTTGGCAAGGTGAATGGTACTTTGATTATCACAAAAAACCACGTAGCGCTGTTGCATAAAGCCAATCTCTTGCATAAATCTTTTGAGCCATAATAGCTCCTTACACGCTTCTGTTGCAGCCACATACTCAGCCTCGGTGGTGGATAAAACCACAAACTTTTGCAGTCTCGATTGCCATGACACAGCTCCCCCTGCAAAAGTCATCAAATATCCAGAAGTGGATTTCATGTTGTCCTTATTTCCTGCCATATCAGAATCAGTATAACCAACAAGTATTGGCTTCCCATTTCCAAATGTTATACCCAATTTGGAAGTACCACGTAGATATCTGAGAATCCACTTCACTGCTTCCCAATGCTTCTTACCTGGATTTGACAGAAAACGACTAACAACACCTACTGCATGGGCAATATCAGGTCGTGTGCACACCATAGCATACATCAAGCTCCCTACAGCTGAGGCATAAGGAACTCTATCCATCTCTTCAATCTTCTTCTCAGAAGATGGACAATCTTTATCTGTCAACCTGAAGTTGGTAGTAAGAGGTGAACTAACCTCTTTAGCTTTGTCCATGTTGAATCTGCGAAGCACCTTCTCAATGTATTGCTCCTGTGACATGTGTAGCTTCTTCAAAGCTCTATCTCGAGTGATCCGAATGCCAAGAATCTGTTTTGCTGGCCCCAAGTCTTTCATAGCAAAAGACTTGCTCAATTGCATCTTCAGCTGAGTAATTCTTTCTGCATTCTTGCCAACAATTAACATGTCATCAACATATAACAATAAAATGATGAAATCATCATCACCAAACCTCTGGAAGAAAACACAATGGTCTGAAGTAGTCTTTCGGTAATTTTGCTCCCCCATAACTGACTCAAACTTCTTGTACCACTGTCTTGGTGCTTGCTTCAACCCATAAAGACTCTTTTGAAGTCTACACACATAGCCTTCTTTTCCCTTAACCTGAAACCCTTCAGGTTGCTCCATGTAGATTTCTTTATCCAAATCACCGTGAAGGAAAGCTGTTTTGACATCCATCTGTTCAACCTCAAGATCAAGGCTGGCTGCCAAACCCAGAACAACACGAATAGATCCCATCTTCACGACCGGAGAGAAAATCTCATCAAAATCAATACCCTTTCTCTGACTGAACCCTTTGACCACCAATCTAGCCTTGTACCTAGGTTGTGAGGTGTGCTCTTCAGTCTTCACTTTGTAGACCCACTTGTTCTTCAAAGCTCTCTTGCCTTTAGGCAACTTCACCAACTCAAATGTATTATTCTCATGTAAGGAATTCATCTCATCTTGCATGGCTTCAACCCACTCCCTTTTGTGCTCATCTTCCATGGCCTCTGCATAACACTCAGGCTCTCCCCCATCAGTGAGTAAGACATACTCATTAGCTGAAAAACGGGTGGAAGGATGACGATCTCTTGTAGACCGCCTAAGTGGGACAAATGGTGGCACGTCTGGTACTGGTATCTCTGAATGAAATTCTTCATCCACCTCTGGCTGTTCTGGAGCATCAGTATCATGTTGTTCATCATTCTGAACATCATTATCAAGAGGTGGTTCTACATGCTGAGGAGGCACTGGATCCAAATCAGTAACATCATCATTATGTTGAGGAACTGTATCTTTCTTCTCAACATCTTTCAAGGTCTGATCTTCCACAAACACAACATCGCGGCTTCGAATAAGTTTCTTGTGGACTGGATCATATAATCTGTAACCAAACTCATCTTGGCCATAACCCAAGAAAACACATGGTTTGGACTTCACATCAAGCTTTGATCTTTCATCTTTAGGAATGTGCACAAAAGCTTTGCATCCAAAGACCCTCAAATGACGGTAAGAAACATCTTTGTCACTCCAAACCCTGTCAGGTACATCAAAAGACAAAGGAACACAAGGAGTTAGATTAATAACATGTACCGCTGTATTCAAAGCTTCTCCCCAGAATGAATTTGGCAGCCCTGCATGTGACAACAAACATCTGACACGCTCCATCAAAGTTCTGTTCATCCGCTCTGCTAATTCGTTCAACTGCGGTGTCTTGGGAGGACTCTTTTGATGTCGAATACCATGGTCTCTACAATAAGCATCAAAGGGGCCAATGTATTCCCCTCCATTATCTGTCCGAATACACTTGAGCTTCTTTCCAGTCTGTCTCTCAACCGAGGCATGAAACTGCTTAAACACCTCAAATACTTGATCTTTAGATTTCAAGGTATAAACCCATACCTTTCTGGAGTGATCATCAATGAATGTGACAAAGTAGGAGCAACCACCAAGTGTCCTAGTCTTCATAGGACCACAAACATCAGAATGCACCAGATCAAGTATACTCTCCTTCCTAGAAGGAGGATGGCTCTTAAAGGAAACCCTGTTCTGTTTACCTGCCAGACAGTGAGAACACTTCTTTAGATGAATATCATGCACACCCGGTAACACATTTCTCTTCAACAAAAGAGACATCCCCTTTTCACTCATGTGACCAAGTCTCTTATGCCATAAATCAGTCATGTCAGTGTTCACCACAGCATTGACCCTATCCTTGAAGATCTTCGGATGTGTCATGTACAACTTTGAGCATCTTTTACCTCTAGCCACGATCAAAGAACCACGAGTGAGTTTCCATATTCCATTACCAAAGTTGTTGCTGTAACCATCATCATCAAGTAAGCCTGCGGAGATCAAATTAAGTCTCATATCTGGAACATGTTTTACATTATGTAAAACCAACTCTATCCCAGTGTCAAACTTCAAACAAATATCTCTGATGCCTGCAATATTTGATAGTCCATTATTACCCATCCTAACATTACCAAAGTTACCTGGAGTGTAAGATGAATAAAAATCCCTCTGTGATGTTACATGACAAGTAGCACCACTATCAACAACCCAACTGGAATCATCATGTGCAATGTTGACCATATCAAGATCAGAACAAATAAGGAACTCATCGGTAGCAATGTTAACTTCAGCATTGCCATTACCACCCTCATCTTTCTTATGGTTCTTTTGATTGTTGTAATCGCTCTTCTTCTTCTCCTTTTTCAATTGCCTGCAGAACCGTATTGTGTGGCCTTTTCTACCACAATGATAGCACTCAAAATCAGCAAACTTTCCTTTGGATTTACTTCGATGCTTCTCTTTGTTACCTGGACCTCTACTCTGACTTCTCCCCCTGCTTTCTGTAACTAAGACATCAGAATGTGAAGAGGAACCTTGTGACTTTCTTCTCATCTCTTCATTTAAAACACTGCCTTTAGCTAATTCCATGGTGATAATACCATCTGGTGCAGAGTTGGACAATGATGTCCTAAAAGTCTCCCATGAGTCCGGTAAAGTGCCAAGGAGCCACAAGCCTTGTATCTCATCTTCAAACTTGATACCCATTCCTGCAAGTTGATTTATGATTCCCTGAAAAGAATTCAAATGATCAGTGACAGGAGTTCCATCATGGTATTTCAAGCTCATCATCTGTTTTATTAAGAACAATTTATTGTTCCCGGTCTTTCGAGCATACAACTGTTCAAGCTTGTTCCACAAATTGCGAGCATGAGTTTCCCCGCTAATATGGTTCAAAACATTATCATCAACCCATTGGCGAATATACCCACAAACCTGTCTATGCAAAATATTCCACTCTGCATCTGTTTTACTCTCAGGTTTATCAGTAGTAAACACAGGCAAATAATAATCTTTCACATAAAGTAGGTCTTCCATTTTGCCTTTCCAAACATGATAATTAGAACCATTCAAATTGATCATCCTACTTGTGTTTGCTTCCATCATTCAAACAAGTCTAACCCAATACAGAAGAACCTGGCTCTGATACCAATTTGATGGGGAAAAACAGCCACAAACGGAACTAATAAAATGCGGAATTAATCTCCGTTTGGCTAAACTTTCCCCAACTTGAATGAATCTTTGAGGATGCAAACAAATAGGGTGTTCTTAATGCAATTAGAACACACACAAGTTGCTTCCACACACCAATATATTCAGCTAAAACAGTAAGCACACACCACACACAAACACCGGAATTTTAGCGTGGAAAACCCGTTAACTAGGGAAAAACCACGGGACCATTTTGGCCGCTTAAATCCACTATCATCATCAAAGGAGCAGTACAAAGTCTTCTCTAGATAATACTAGAGGCATACACATTCATCATATCCTTGGAAGTAAGCACATCAAGGTGTATGGAATCAAATAGAGCCAAGATAAGAAATATATCACCAGAAAAATAGCTACTGTCCAGAGCAACGAAACCCGACCTCCGGACCTCAAAACCCGATCTCCACCGTCCAGAATGTTGGCTCAGATGCTGTGAAGCTGCTGTCCAAAAATCACGACGATCCAACGGTTCAATCTCCGGGAAACGGAAGTTTTCTGCTGCTGCCTGCTGGAAAAACGGGATGAGCACACTCAGCTCATGTTTACCACTTATGCTCTCTTTTCTGCTGCTCTCTTTCTGTCCATCGAATGTATGTTAGTGGCTGACCCATATTTTTGATTATTAGCTCCCAAACACACAAAGTCAAAGAAGACTTTTAATGGGCTCAATACTTGGGCTTTCCTCATGGGTCAAAAACAAAGGAAAAACCCAACACCTTTGTCATTTTTTGAAAAGAAATCGCCCATATGACAATAACTCTTGTGTTGGTACACTAGAAAATGATATGTCAAAATTAATCTTTCATATTCATTATTCACTCCAAAGTTTGCAACGATTGGTAACACGTTATCATAAATAAGTTTGTTTAAAACTATTCCATAAGTCTTAAGTTCAGTGAAGTAATAGAAAAATGGTAACATTACTTTTATGACAAAGTAACATTTATGACTTATGAAATAGGACAAGAGCTAGAGCGCGGTGACCATATATAATCTCTATATTTGAATCCATATACTACGTATAATGAATGCATGCATGTTTTAATTTGTTGAACTACATGCAGGGGTGTCGTCTTTCAACATAGACTTTGTAGCGAAGAAGGTGACAGTGGTTGGCGATGTAACGCCATTAGGAGTTCTAGCAAGCATATCAAAGGTAAAGACTGCACAGCTCTGGCCGGCCGGGTAGCACCAACGCCCATCCCGCCCCCACTTTGCCTAAGCTAGCATGCATATATGCACCTCAGCTCCACTAAAGACTAGGCCTTCGTTATGATACAATCTTAGCTCGAGTACCTGCATCTAGTCTAGCTAGATATGTAAAGGTATATATATAAGTAACCTGTTTTATTTGGTTTGGTTTGATCGAGATTTTGAATTTATTGGTAGGTTGGTTTTAATTGCAAGCTAAGGTGAGGGTCAAACTCTTTCGAGTAATATTAACTACACACAAGGTATTTGTTTAAGAGTAGTATTTTATGGTCAAAGGACTGCATGCATTTTTATTGGGATGCTCCGTCTATCCCGTTTCGTGAAGTTGGTATAGGCATTTAGAAATTAAGGGTAGTAATGCAGCACATCAGTATTACTATGCCCGCTATATGATGGATGATTCTTTTACTATACAAAAATAGTAATATAACAGAAATATCTTCATACAATTGACTCAAACTACGGCGACTCACTTGAGTTCACAGATTAAGACTTCTCAAGCTATATATCTCCTATTTTAAGGAGGCTCTTAACACTTTAGTTTTGTCACTTGAAGAAGTGGTTTCTCTCTTGGTTTTGGGTTGTTATATATGGGGGTTCCTAACCCTATTTATACTGCTCCACTTCCATCGTGAATGATATATAGAGATTGGGTCTCTAGAATACTCTACCGTCTACATATCTCTAGACATTTGAGAAACCTCCACTCTTTCATATCCTTCCATACTCTTACACAAAATTGCAAAATGTTCCACACATCTTCATAATACTTGAAACATTCTACTCTTCCAAAAGTTTATAGAGTTCTACTTATCTGCAAGTTTATTTATAAAGAATTCAAAACATTTTACAAATTCTTTACTTAGAGAGATCTAAAATTTCTAGATCGAACCTCTTTATTTAAAGAGGGACTCTACTATTACTAAAATCTATAGATACAGCAAATCTAATGACACACCGGGTGTTCACTTTGCTATTAAGTACAGTACCAAGCAACGTTGTTAATATAAAGCAATTAATCAAATAAATCATAAAAGTATGAAGGTTTATTATAAAATATTACTAATAAAAGAGTCATGGGAAAAATGTGACAATTTTTAGTGACTATAAGGATGTTTTTACTTGGACTGTAATTTGTCCCAGACCAGACCAGTCCAGACCAGACCAAACCAGTTCAGACCAGACTAGACCAGACCAGACTTGGATAGTTATAAAAATACAAAGAAACCAGACCTTACCAGACCAGACCAGACTAGTTCAGATCAGACCAGACCAGATCAGACCAGACCAGACCAGACCAGCAAATTACAGTCCAAGTAAAAACATCCTAAGTCAACAAATATAGTGACTTGTGTTTCTTAGTAACTCAGAACACAATTAGTAAATATAGTGACTTCGCGTACGTGATCTTTAATTGTGGTGTCTATGTCACCATCAAAATAAAACACAAAAAGTTGCCGAAAAAAATAAAGAAACTACTACGTATTTATTAATCAATTTCTCGTGCTTATTAATTTCATGCAATGGTTGCACTCAATATAAATTTGTATTACTACATTTTCACTTGGATCGAAGTTTAAGGTCCACTTCGATTTGGTCTGAATTGACCTTGTTGGGTTTAATTTGGGTTTAACCGGCAGAGTATGATGTGTTTAAGTGACGACTGGTTTAAATTGATATGTTTACATGTGATTGATTCTGGATTTGGTTTAAATTGATGATATGTTTACATGTGATTGATTCTGGATTTGTTTGTTTTGATTTGCGTAGTCTGATTTCATTTGATCATTCGAAACTTTATTCTTGTCTAGTTTGATCTAAAATGATATTCCCTATCATTTAACACAAATCAGTCCAAATCAAAATATATTTAGATGTACCGAGAAGAATACAGTTACGGTACTCCTCGTGTGGCGGAAACGACACTCGAAGTGTGTCTAGTTAGATGGCACCACTTGCAATTATAGAATGACAAATTTTAGAAGCATATATTGAGATTTCTTCTAATGTTTTGGATATAAAATGGAGAGCTCGCTTTAATGTAATCGTGTAATTAATACTTTAATTAAGTTTCCATATTTATTAGGTTTTATTGTATTCAGGACGTTGTTATTATATATATGACACCTAGAGCTACTAGTCTGACAAGTCATTCCATTATTCACACATGGTATTAAGAACTCTAGGTTTTAGACAATACTAAAAAAAATCGATGGCCTCCTCGACTGGTTATGCCCCCGCCACCATGTCTTCCTCTACCGCCACCATGATGACCTCATCGGCGGTTGACACGACGGTTCTGAGCGCAGCCACGCAACCACCGCCTATCTCACCGCCGCCGCAGATGACCTCCGTCCCCCTCGACGTGTCAGACTCACCGCTGTCTTCCTCCTGGGTCCCACCAATTTTTACATGGACGCCAACGCCGCCGACAGTTCAGCCGCCGCCACTCTTCTTCGCTGACTCTCAGGCCGAGTCCAGCCCGACTGCTGCTGCCCGAGCGCGTTTTGCTGGACCTACCTTATCCGGAAACCCCGGTTTGGTTCTCCCGACATCGGCTGGCTCGATCGGACGTCGCCCGGTTGACACTCCTTTACCGGCTTTGTTTGCTTCGTTAGCCCAAGGTATGATTTTTGGTGCCTCTATTACCTAAATTGTGACCACAAAATTATTGGATGTTGAAGTTCACCTGTGGTGGCGAACTCAAGTCTGAGTCTTTTTTAGTTGATAATGATCTTTTGGGAATTCTTGATGGAACTCTTCTGGCTCCCACTCTATATACCTATGATTTATATCAGGCTCAGACAATTAATCCAGAATATTATCATTGGTTAATGTTGGATCAGACTGTTCGTGCTTGGTTGTTTGCTACTCTTTCCCGTGAAATTTTAATGGAAATGCATCAATTATTGAAAAATTCCACCGCCATCTGGCAGCGACTGGAGTCACCATTCATGGCCGTCAGTCTTACCCGATCCATGGAGTTAAAACAAATGTTGTCTCATACCAAGAAGAAGCCTAATTAGTCCATGGAAGATTATGTTCGCGACATCAGGACAATTACGGATTCTCTAGCTTCCATCAATCCCCCGGTTTCGGATTCTGACCTCTTGTAGCATACCCTTTACAGTTTGGGTCCAGGATATGAGTCACTGGTGAGACCTCTTACTCTCTTTCCTGAAGGGCTCACTTTTGACTCTTTATGCACAAAATTAGTCCATCAAGAGGTGTGCCTACACTACGAACAGTCCTTGGAATTCACGATTGGAGCTCCTGCTTTTGCGGCGTCATCCTCGACATGGAGGGTGTGGCGGTAGACGTGGAAATTGAGGCAAGGGTGGCCTAGGTCGCGGCCGACACCAACCGCAGCAGCCGCCGATCTTCGGTCAGCCCCCATAGCAGCAACCACATGGTTCTTCAGGTCGTGGAGCTCACCAGCATGCTAATTTGGGTACACCTGGTACAATTTTTGTAATTCAGTTGAGTCATCGTTTATTACTCCAGCCCTATCTACCTTTTGTAATAACTATGCATCTACAAGATTTCCATCATTTGAGAATAATTTTGGTTCAGTTCCCCCTCCTGTCGTCTGTTAAATATGTCACTCTCCAGGTCATTCCGCTGTTGCATGTCCTTCTCGTTTTGTTCAAGTCCAGGCTCCTGCATTGGCTGTCTCCACTGGTGAATACACTCGGACTATTTGGTATCCTGACTCCGGTGCTTCCGCTCATATGACTTCTAATCAAGGTATTTTGGACAATAAATGCATTTATTTTGAACCATTATTTGTTATGGTGTCATTCCATTATTCTCACATATTGGTGTGTCCATTTAAAAATGTTAAGTTTTACTCCTCCGTCCCGCTAAGATTGTCCCATTTTACCTTTTCGAGAAGTCCCACTAAGATTGTCACATACCATATTTGGTAAAGATTGTGTGGCTCTAAATCATTCTAACTTTATTCTTACTTTATCAATTTAATATCAACCACACAAACCTACTTTTCTTAATAATCGTGTTACTTTCTCTCGTCCCAATCTTAGTGGGAGGAAGGTAGTATATTAATATTTAGCCATTCTCATGCACTCATTCCATACTCTTGAAGCGATTTCGAGTGAATGGAGCAAATAGGTAGCCAGCTCCTATTGGGAAATGAAACATTAATTAGAGTGGTCAAAGTTTGAAAAGCTAGCGAATGAAACATAGAAAGAAAAAGAAACGGAACTTGACCGATCTTTTTTGTGATTGAGACATTATGTATGTGCTTTATATATGTATGGGTTCACTTTTACAAGGAAAAGGCCAATAATTTTGTTATCCTGCACTGCCTTTTCAACAATGGAAACTGACCAAAGCTCAAAACAAGAAAAAGAGGATCTGGGAAGGAGATCGAGTGGAGGGTGTGTCAATTGCCATTTTCATTTGTCGTTCCCTAAATGTATATCAATTTCTGAAACTATTTTACACATTTTTTACCTTAATTATGTTGGCCGAGGATGCTCTGGTTCCATTCTTATTAGTTCAAGTGTTCATATTTAAGAATTTCAGTATAATAGGGTTAGGTAGTTTCAACTTTGGGTCATGAATGTTTCTTGATTCTAGGTTTGCTAACCGTTCATTTGGAGAATTATAAACACCGATTTTTAACTTTTAAAAGAACCATATTGTTTTTACACTATTTCCAATTTCATATTAAAATTCCTGTTATCTTTTATATCATAAATACTACTATCTCCGTATCATTTTATGTGTCTCACTTTGATTTGACACAATTCTTAAGAAAGAGGTTGAAAAAGTAAAAGTTGTGGATGAGATTTGAGTATAATAAAGTGAAATGTTGTGTGTCACATATTTATTTTCAAAAGAGAAAATGAGAAACTTATTTGTGATAAACAAAAAAGAAAAGTAGGACACGGAGGGAGTAATTGTTTGAGTTATCGTCTAGAATTAGGACCATATCGAACCCGACAAGTCAATTTGTTTGTACTCATTTGAAATATAGTACTACAACTAGAGTTGTGCTAGGTGTACACATTTTTGTGTACACCTTTTGTACACTCGTCTCTCTCACGCACAAAATATTATATATCCACAGACAATTCTACAGAGTTGTCTGTGAATAGACAATTCTTTGTGTGTGACACAGACGTAGTACAAATGGGTTCAGGACAATCTGAGTCAAGGTTCAGGACTAGGATTTTGTCTAATCCTATAAACAAATGGGTTCGACGCATATTTTGTGACGCAGTGTCACCATTTTTTATCACTACGCCATGCTAATTTTTTCGTGACATTACAATTTTTGAAATTACTTTTGTCCTAAATTTCTCAAGAGTTCGTCAATTCGTGCCAAATGAAAATTTGTGCAAAAATCATTTTGCATCAAGAAACTTGGAACAAAATCATGACAAAAGTTTAGGTCAATAGGTGTCAAAACTCCTATCCCTGTCCACATTAAGTTTTGTGATTCAATATTACTTTTTATATGAAATTTTGCGATTAAATATTACTATGTACTTTTCCATAGTTTCTAAATACTCTTAAGTGTGTAAGTTTCAATTATATGTACTAATCTACATATTTTTAGGAAAGTTAACCATAGCAGGAAGGAGGACTTCATTTATGGAATGAGTGAAAAAATAATCATAAAGCAATTAGTATAATACGATGATAGTGTAACTCCCGATCCCGCAGGACTCGAGTTAGTTACTCCAGATCTCTCCGGACATCTAGTACTGTCCGGACAAACCACCACGAGCCTTTACCGTGCACTTTGTCCTTACTCATGTGCGCCCTGAGAAACTTCTCAGGGGGGTCACCCATACTAAGACTACTCCCGTGCAAGCACGCTTAACTTTGGAGTTCTTGGGTGATGAGCTCCCTTAAAAGGAGATGCACCTCTGTTGGTATGCGTAGTACTATTAATCCATTTATATTAAATCTCAAGTGTTACAATCACCCCCACTTAGGATCGCAATGTCCTCGTTGCGCCCTTAAACAAATCTGAATCAAACCCCAGAATCTTTTCCCCTGCTAGGTGTCTGCCCGATATCCAACAGATCAGCACACTGTCGCAGGGTTGCTCTGATACCATTTGTAACACCCCGGCCCTGTAGGACTCAAGGTAGTTACTCCAGACCTCTCCGGACCTCTAGTACTGTCCTCACAAACCATCACGAGCCTTTACCGCACACTTTGTCCTCACTCATGCGTGCCCTGAGAAACTTCCTAGGGGTCAAGACTACTCCCGTGCAAACACGCTTAACTTTAGAGTTCTTAGGTGATGAGCTTGCTTAAAAGGAGATGCACCTCTGTTGGTATGAATAGTACTATTAATGCGTTTTTATATGTAAATTTTGACGCAGTCAACTTCAAAAAATGATTTGAATGCCTTCCCGATCGAATTTTGAGCAGAAATTTGGTATGAATAAACTAGACTTGATGAAGAACATGTTCAAAAAAATTCATCAAACAATTCAATCGGGAAGTGCCCGAAACGCCCTCGGCCGGCCGGCGGTTCCCGTCAGGCCGGCTGGACAAGAACGGGACTATATATATATATATATATATATATATATATAGTCTTTATTATTGAATACTCTCTCTATATATATGTCATATACAGAAACGTGAAAGTTTAGTAGATATTTTATTTTAGCCTTTTAGGGAAGAAGGGAATATTAATTATCTTCGTCCCAAATTAATTTTCAAAATTGACTTTTCTTGGTCAAACAATATCATTGTATTTCTTCTAATTTGGGTTTTGTAACTTTGAAAAGATTTTAATGTAGTTTCTGAATATGTAAATTTTAATTATTAAAAATTGAATTAAGTATTTTTTTTTTGAAAACTTGAATTAAGTATCAATAGGGAGGATTTAACATTAATATTAGCCGATAAAAAATGGTGATGACTTTACAAATCAATTTGGGAGGGAATGAATGCATTGTATGTATAGCGCGCATTGCAACATTAATAAAGTGCATCAGCTTAATCATGAATGATGATCGCAAAGATATATATAAGGGGTGATGGAGTTGAATACGCATGTTGAAGTTAAGATGAAGCTTACGTATCTAATACGCAGAGATGGACTTGGTAATGAATAGAACGTGAATGGAATGTGGAGATATAATGTGACCGGCGCGCCTTAAATCTATCACTAAATAATTGGGTAGCTGGGTTGGAAGCATGTATAAGAAAGAGAAAAGAAAACGTCTGATTTGAAAATAGCTTAGCTAGTACTTCATTAATGTATGTATGTATGTATGTAAAGAAATTAAAGGGAAAAAGAAGTGAAGGGTATAGTAGGTAGCTAGCAGCCAAAAATAAAAGGTAGCAGCAGAGCGGACATACAGAGTTTCACGCACTATAAATAGACACCAGCCCACCTTATGTGTGTAAGTGTATATATGAATGAATTGTGTGTCCTAAATTAATTAATAAACTAATTGTAGCGCCGCAGCTTATTAATCAGTAATTAGGGTGTGGGTGTGTGTGTATATATAGACTACACAAAGTATGTACGTAGTGATGGAGTGGTAGCTCGATCTAGCTAGCTTTAAGCTTTTATTATATATAGATATATAATTAGGTAGCTAGTACGTACTAATTATATATCGATCGTGGAATAGAATGGAGTGGAGATTGCAGGAAGCGTTGGTGAGATGGAAGCCATACCTGGCTCTGGTGTTCATTCAGTTTGGGCTGGCGGGGATGGATGTCATCTCCAAAGTGGCCCTCAACCAAGGCATGAGCAACTACGTCTTTGTTGTCTACCGCCACGCTGTTGCCACCATCGTCATAGCTCCCTTTGCACTCATTCTCGACAAGTCAGTAACTCCCATCCCTAGCCTCTTTTCACTTGCTTTATCATTAATATATGTAATAATCAAGTAGTGTACGTTCAACTCCCCGCAGAAAACACAGGCCCAAAATGACGCTTCCCATTTTCGCCAAGCTTCTACTTCTTAGCCTTCTTGAGTAAGCTAGCATATGTTATACAGTATATTTTCCATTAAAAATCTTCTACTATACGCATCCCAATTCAAACGCTAGCTACTATTCCCTTATACATGCAGGCCTGTGATCGACCAGAATCTGTACTTCATAGGCATGAAATATACAACAGCAACTTTTGCGGCTTCTATGGCCAACATCCTGCCCGCCTTGACTTTCTTGATTGCATTGCTATTCAGGTTGGATGTGGATTAATTAAATGAGAAATAAGAATGAATTTAGAAATTATATATCTGAAACTAAAACAAATCTGTCCCTTCAGAGTTAATATTAAAAGCATTCACATCCCTTGGGAGGATCATGTTTGTAAAATTGATGGAATTAAGATTTGGGGCAGGCTAGAGAAGGTGAGATTGAAGAGTATCCGAAGCCAAGCGAAGATAATTGGAACGGTGGCAACGGTAGGTGGGGCCATGATGATGACACTGCTCAAAGGCCCAATGCTTGAGCTGTTTTGGACCAGGTCAACCGCTCACGGCCATCCCGCAACTGGGGCCATTGATCTCGCCCACTCTATCAAAGGAGCTCTCATGATCACCTTTGGATGCTTGAGCTGGGCCTTCTTCGTCATCCTACAAGTATACTACATTGCATTCTTTTCATTTTCCCATCACACTTTATTATAAAGTTTCAAACCGTTCTCAGATCAAGCTAGTGTTCAATCCATCTGCAACAAACATTTACCAAACCAAAATTTTAATCTAATTAAAAAACATTTGTCCACAGCTAGCTGATGTCTTGTGCTTGCATACAGGCAGTGACATTAAAAACATATCCCACAGAGCTTTCACTCACTGCATGGATATGCCTTCTGGGAACTGGTGAGGCAGCCATTTTGGCACTAGTCATGGAGAGGGGCAATCCTGCTGTTTGGTCCATCAACTGGGATACCAAATTTCTTGCTGCCCTTTACAGTGTAAGATCCATCATCACTTCCTTACTTTACCAAATAAATGTTTGTATTGAATTAATTCCACCACAGCTTAGTAGAAATTCAAATGTCTAATAGGGTGGAGTTGTGATTGTGATTCTGCAGGGAGTATTCTGTTCTGGGCTGGCTTATTACATCCAAGGAGTCGTCATGAAAGACAGAGGGCCCGTTTTTGTAACTGCCTTCAATCCATTAAGTATGGTCATTGTTGCCGTAATCAGCTCCATCATTTTACGAGAGCAGATGTACCTCGGAAGGTATCTATATTTTATTCTATCAAATCCAATACTAATCATAAGTACCTTCTCCTCCTCCTCCTCGTGTCATCGTAGCCCAATTAATGTGAGATTTTTGTAGGGTTGTGGGTGCCGCTGTCATTGTTATAGGGCTTTATATGGTCCTGTGGGGGAAGTGCAAGGATCAGAACTCAGCTGCATCTCATGTTGAAGCAGCAAAATCTCTACCAACCCTACAAATGAAAACAAGTGATGCAGCTGCAAACAGTAGTAGTGACAAGGAAAATCTTCCTCTTGATCAAATCCTCACCATCTATCCCTCTTCACAACATACCCACAAAACTCTAGGATAGAATCAGACTTAAGTTGTCATCTTCACATGAGTAAACCAATGTTCTCTTTAATTGTAGGAGAAGCTTCAAACAATTTTAAGGAATTTTGACATCTAATCTCGCACTTTCACTTCAAATAAATTGTGGGTTTTCTCACAGCTGGTTCAAATTTTCATGCTGCTTTTTGTTCATGTGCTTTTCTCTCCACCTTGGGGTTTCATAGTGTGTGATTGATTGTGGGATTGTTGTGTACCATTGCACTTGCTCACATGTGTTATGTCTTTATTGAAAACAAAAACACATCTAAGAGCCGTGAATTTGGTAGGTGTCTTTCAAAATTTTTCCTACCAAGTCTTAGAATTCAACAAATTCAAAACACTAGAGTCAAACAAAGCATAATGACAACTACCAAAAGGTTTAATAGATACCAGTTTACTCACTCGTTTGAGTGAAAGGTTCTACAACGGTTTCTACACAAGTGTGTGAACTGCACCTATAAAAGAGTAATCACAGAAGAGTGCAAGTGAGTAGAAGTTGTGCACAAAAAAGTCAAAGTAAAACTAGAAAGCACTTGTTTTACTTTGAAAGCAAAAACTTGTAGTGTCTAGCGATATAGTGAATATATCCACAAGCTTGTGCATTGTGTCCAATTGGAAAAGAGGTACATAGAAAGTGAAAAATCATTTTAGGAAAACTTTGTAAATCAAATTGGAATGGAGTACATATTCTGCTCCGATCGTCGACCAAACGACCTTCAAATTTCCTCAATCTTTAGTATGTTGTTCCAGCAAATGTTATCTTCATATCCAATGGTCGTATTATTGATTTGATAAATGGAAGTCTGTATGCCAATCCTAATAATAATAGAGGTTTTAAAAAAATATTGAAATAAAACTTATTTACAATAATAGGATTAAATATATAAAAAACAGTAATATGATTAAAATTAAAAAATATAAAATAAAACTTAAAAGGTGAATAAATCTTTAAAAATATATATAAAATAAAACTTTAAAATGCATTTGTCAAAGCAAAACTTCATAAATGAAACTGGTAAACTTTATAAATGCAAAACCGTAAATGAGATTGGTAAACCCTAGAAATGCCAACCCTAAACGCTAGAGGGTCAGTAAATCCCATAACACTAATGCTAAACCTTAAGGATATTGTGGGCCAATATGATTAGTCTTTCACTCTTTCCAACTTCCTACTTCCTAGAACCACATAAGTTCTACTTATGCAATAAAAATTAGGTAGTCCTATTTTTGAGGAAACAAAATCAAAGTTGTAATCCTGTAACCACTATGTCACAATGGTTACCAAAGGGTCTTTCACGGGCAGAAACAGAAATATGCATGAAAGACAGCAAAACTACAATTCTTATTTCCCATCTTGAGCAAAGAGAACTATCCACAAATTCGTGTCAAGTACAATGTATGTACAATGTAGGTTACAGACAGAGAGATCTTAATGAACAAAAGTTAACACCGGTGATCAAGTCATGAAACTTAAGGAGTGTTTGGGGTTGCTTAAAAAAAGCGCTTTTCAGCTTTTGGCGTAAAAAAGTTGAAAAGAGTGTTTTCAAATGACAGCTTCTGTTTAAATTAATCACTTAAAAGCTAAAAACTGGAAGCAGGAAGAAGGGTGCTTTAAACTGCTTCTCACTTTTTCTATTACACAAAAAGTACTTATTTTACCAAACACTACCAACTTTTACTTTTTCAGAATCACTTTTTCCTCAAACACTACCAGCTTTTACTATTAATCATTTTTCCCAAAATCACTTTAAAAAATCACTTTTTTTAAGTTGAAGCAATAACAAACACTCCCTTAGGCTTTGTTTGCAACCACTTCTGCTTAAATAAAAGCACTTTTGGGGAAAAAGTGATTAGTAGTAAAAGTTGGTAGTGTTTGGTAAAATAAGTGCTTTTTGTGTAATAGAAAAAGTAAAAAGTAGATTCTACACGGAAGCCAACAAAGTAAAAGTTGGTAGTGTTTGGTAAAATAAGTGCTTTTTTCTTAAAAAAAAGTTAAAAGCATTTTTTTTAATGGGTTGCAAACAGACCCTTATAAATCTCATCATGCATCACGATAGCGGTTGTTGGAACATATTGTTTTGTTGATGACAAACAACTAGTGTTACTTTTGGTCTATAAGTGATTACGGGAAAGGAAGATAAGTCATACTTTGGAACAAGCCGTAGACCTCAACCCAGAACTATCCTAGAGTCCAAAACGGTCGTATATATTTTATCGTTGACTAACCATGCAGGTAGACCAGCGGATAGAACTTCTCTCTGTTCTATCAGGAACGAAAATTAGAACTATACTTAGTTCTGTTCTGTGTGAATGATTGACGTGAATAATGAATAAATGAATAAACATGTTATTGCATGATAATGCCATATCTACGTACCTAGATATGTTATGCATGAAAGTGGGACAATTTAAATATCTTTTCATAAATGATTATGCCTTTATACTTTATAAAAGGTAATCATGAAAGTGGCACAATTCAAATATCTTTTCATAAATGATTGGACACCACTTAAGTAAGTTAACCTTAATTGTGCTCATACTTTATAGGAAGTAATATTGGCTTGCTAAATTAAGGATTGCATGACTCAAGATTTGGATGACCGTAGCTTGCTTATAATTGTCAAATAAATATTCCATTGCCTTGTGATTTGAAAAGTTATCCTTGATTTAAGATATTAAATCTCCTTTGGAAAGGATCTTGACTTGCTAGTAATATAAGGACAGTTGGCTTGAATTAATTTGCACCTGCTTAATTATCTTCCGTATATGGGTGCATGATTTATTTGGTCACTGGCTAATATATTTTCTTTATGTGATCACCAATTTGAAAAGGTCATACACTTTGTCAAGATTTATTATTTTAAGAAAGAATCTTCCATGCATTATTGGTCAATAAGGGTTAACGGTTCATTGCATATATGTTAAGTATATTCTTTGACTTGTTAGTTATTTGAAGGTACGTAAGTTTAATTCCATGAATGCATGATATACTCCTTTCATGTATGTGCATCCATTTATTACTATAATACACCTGCCTTTTTACTACGTGTACTTTGAGCAAGGATCGCCACATTAATGATAAAGAGATGAGATCTCCTCATAAAAGGAAGGCTTTTCAAATAACAACAAGGAAAGTTTCACACTTAATGACTTGACCATCCAAGGAAGAAAAGGGCAACGGTGCAGTGGTGAGCCGCTTATATATATCGAGATCAAAAGACAGAAGAGGGTGTGCTTGACCGAGATAGACATTGAGAGATATATTCATAAAAGAATTACTGAAGCTCAAGGCACCTGAAACTGCTCACTCGGAGTTCTAGATATAGTTTCTTCTTTCCCTTCTTCATATTGTAATGGGGTTTTGAGGATTGGCTAAGAGCAGCCTCCTCGGGTTGATTTGTGTGAGTGAGAGCTTTGTTGTAAAGCTGAGAGGCTCTCTACCCACAAGGTAGAGAAGTGTAACTCTTCCTAGAGAGGATAGAGTTGGGGTGGCTCAAGGGTAGACTAGGAGAGTTTCCCTTGTAATCATTCAAAGGCTTTTTAGTGAAGTTGTTAAAATTCCTCCGAGGGAGGTCGAGGTTTTTTAATCCCTTTGAGCCAAGGGATTTTTCCTCGTTAAATCCTTGTGCACTTTACTATTTCGTATATCCCTTTACCCCGCACTAGAACTGGGCGAAAAACTGCCACGGTTCCACACACACACACAATTCACCCCCCTCTTGTGTTGCTAACCGTTTTCATCAGCGGTACAGAGCGAATTTATCCTAAGGATGACTATGAGATTTCTTCCTATTGATCAACAAGTTGAGAAACAGCCAATAATATGTCATGAGACAACCAAAACAACATTAGGCCAGATATTTTAAAAAAATTTAGATTTGTGATCACAATACTGCAGGTGGGGGGTGGGGGGGGGCAATGACTATCGAGATAACAACATACATTACCATTCCTCACACCAAATCAAAATCCGAGGTAATAAACCAACTCATATACCACACACCGCATATTTGTTCATCAAAATAAATAGAGGGAGGATATTCATATGGTATCCCTTGACAATCAATATTATCACCCAAATTTCTGTTAAACAAACCATAAAAACGTTTGGATCGAGTAAAGAAGACTCCAATAAGCTATCTCTCCCTTACAATGTCTTTCTAATGGATCAGCAACATCTAGTAAGCACGACTTTTTAAAACATCAATTCCCATTTCAGTTGGATCAGTTGCTTGAAGTTCCACCTGAATTCCGTCTAACTCCCTCTTGAACCTGTCTTTGGAGCTTGCATATATCATCTTGTTCCTAACCCTTGCTGTTTCAGGAGACCTTGGGCAAATAATAATAATAATGATGATGATGATGATGATAATGATAGCAATAATAATATCATGAAAGAAGACAGTTGTGGAAACAAAAAGAAAAAAGAAAAAATTACCCAACAAACATTTACCATGCTATGAAGAAAATCTTGCTTTTCTTACAACTCTCTTCTGTCACAAAATCAAAATCATACACCGCATATCGGCATTCATCAGCAGGGAGGCTGGCTGAGAAGTCATCATAGCTTTCGTTCGGCTCACCAAGCCTTTCAACAATGACCTGGGGCTTCTTCTCCTCATTCTTACTTTTTGTTGGCTCACCAACCTTTTCAACCATGGCCTCGGGCTCCTCCTCCTCACTCTTGCTTTTGCCACCAACTTTCTCAACACAGACCTGCTCATCATCCTTGCTTTTAGTTGCTGGCTCAACAGCCTTTTCAACAATGACCTCCCCGATCTTGAACACAATGAAACGGTAAGTTCTTTTTGCTTTTAACTCCAAGAACTTCAACTTGCAATCATCATGTACAGCTATCCCAGAGACTGCATTAGCCTGAAAAGTAATATTGAATTACCTAGAGCCCGTTCGTAAACTAAGTCTACACGGCTGAAATGACTAAATTCACCTAAATTTTTTCATGATAAACAGTGGATAAAATCAATTTCACTGAGAAGCGCTACTTGCTCTGCTGGTAAGTGGTAACCAGAACAAAGCTCGGTAAGGTAACAAAATAGAGCCTGATCCTAACACAATCAGAATGGGAAGAAAAACAAGCTCTCATACAATTGACATTTTTGAAGATTGATGAAGGT